CACACACACACACACACACACAGCCTCTCGACAATATGCGTTTTTAGGCTGGCTGTAGCAGCGCTATAGCACTGCACAACAAAAACGCATAAAAAAAGCAAAATCAATGAAACTTATGCTTAGGTGAAGTTGAGGGCAAATAAGTTCAGGATTTACTAAAGCTTATGCTCAGGTGAAAGAAAATGAAGCATGCTAAATGTAATTAAGTCAAATTGTTGGTAGGGGAATGACCAAAAATTGCATGTGTATGTGAGATGTTGAATGGAAAGGGTGGGAATTGGGTTTTTTTAAAGGAAATGGAGGAGAGTGGGGGTAATGATGAAGCTGAGGGCAAGTAAGTCCGATTGGACTACATAAGAATTGCAGACAATTCCACAGCGTTGCATCTCACAGCCTGCAATTGTGCACAACAGTTATACCTTTGTTTTTTTGTCTTCAAAATCTCACAAGAGCAGAGGCTGACTTCATCCCCACGCATCCATTCTATCCTGTTCTTGCCCACTTCATGGAACTTATTCGCTCTCAGCTTTACTTAAGCATCAGTTCTATGAATAGGAAAGTCTGATGATGGGTTTTTATGGAACAACTTAAGTATCAGTTTCATAAATAGGGAAACCTAATGGCGGGTTTTCTGAAACAACTTTATCTAAGCATCAGTTTCATAAATAGGGAGGTCACCTGCTGGTTACGGGTTTTTATGGATCAGTTTCCACTAGCAAAACCTCAGTTTCTTTTGCTTTTATTCATAAAGCTAGATTTGTTTTAATTGTTTTAAGTTTCCTACACAACCTTTCATACTACAAATTTTTCACTGTTTTTGCCAGTCAGTTTAGTGCTTCAATGTCGCATCCTACACTGCACTTAAATGCCCCATCAGTGTGATTCTACTGCCTACTCCGTGCCACTGCGATTAGTGCGTGATTTAAATCTGAATTTGAAATTTTTGGCCCACACAGAGAAATAAAGCAACCCAGTGAAATTTCAGCCTCCTCACTGCTCTGGTTTCCGAGATCGTTTACTCGCGAAAAAATTTGCATAACCTACTTAGATGTTCGTAGGTGAGGCCCAGGTGATCGTGAACGCCGATTTTAAACTTTATATGGCACTTGGACTATAAACATCCTTGTGACACATTCCTAGTCTCTGCGGTTGCTGACTTGAATGTGGATGACAAAAATCCGAACACACACGCACAGAAACACTGCCAACCTCTCGATAATATGTGTTTCTGAAATATTCATAAGGCAATGCAAAAACCACATAATAACCACAAAATTTAGTGGAAATATTCACAAATTTTATTTGCATTGCTGATTAATCCCTGCGGTTAAATGGTTTAAAAATAAGCAAACTTGACAACCAGTCATTGTTTCATTGAGTGTGCGTCGTGGATAGGTGGCAAAAGCGAGGAGTGGAGTCAACAATTTGATTATCCTTGCCGCGAGGGCTGGTGGAGGACGATGACGAAATACGGTGATGAAGGCGGCGGGAAAATGGCCAAAGACGATTTGAAAGTATGACTGGTCGATGATAAACAGAAGATGAAAATGACCGGATCAGTGGATGCTGATAATGAGCCGATGCTGAAAACAATCTGTCGGTGATGGAGACGAACAATGAAAAATGAACACGAACTGAAGACATCCTATAAGTGGCGAACCGATCCGAAATGATGATCAGTCGATGGCGATGACGGTCTGAAAACGAATACGACCTGAAAAATGACCAGTCGATAGTAAAGAGACAATCGTTTGCTGAAGCTGTGGCCATCTGAGAAATTAAGTGCCTTTGCAGGACGGTACTTTTGGGGACACTAGAAGGTACACAAGAGAATGACAGGACGTAAATTGACTAACCCAGCCGACGAGTGCAGGTGCGAATTGTTGTAGCACACCACAAGGAAAGCTCGACGATCTCGCTTCTGAATCTTTCCGGCCAATTATCAAAAAACGCTCTCTCGGAAGACACGAAGGCAGCTACCAAGTATACTGCACTCATATACAAAGAATATATAATACGGGATTTCACTCATATTCAAAGAACACGTTTTCTATGATTGTCACCCCCTCACTTTGTTCAGACGTAACCATGCATTCACTTTTGAAGAAGAGCGGTCGACGGATACACATGGTTTGAAAAGGGTGATTCGATATGATGAAGAAAATTGTTCGTTGGAATTGTGGTCGTCAGAAAAGAAACAGAAATTAAGTGTTCCTGTAGAAGCTGAACTTCAAAAGTCAGTTGAATGATCGGACGTTAGTTGACCTGACCGGCGAATGCAAGCGCTAGTTTCTGTTCTACCACGTTACAACATGTCGTGATATCCAGACCGCTGTGTATCTGAATCTTGTCGGCCAATTCGCAAAACGCGCTGTCTGCAGCCGGTATTTCACTCAGACACAAGGGATACGTATTCTGTGATTGTCACTCTCTCACTGTACCCATGTATTTATTTCACTTGTATTGTAGTAACAATAAAACTTTTTATTATCTGTGTGATTAGCTTTATAGCAATACAAATCACAGCACACGCGAGCAAGTGTCATCAAGACATTCGCACTTCTGATGTGGCACCGATACCACCCTGCATATAGCTATCGCTTTTCGTTTGGATTTCTGATGCAGTGAACGTACAGTTCACAAGCCTTTCCCACTGTAATTACAATCTAAGTCGTGCTTAGAGGTCACAATATTGCAGGCTTTGTTTTATTACCGCTTGCGTTTTCACTGTCCCATCTAACTGTGGACTGATGAATTAAGCAGTGATTGTTTAACTCTGCACATATTAATGTTTATATTTCTGATTCTGTTGTCCTATCGTTTGAAGCCTCTCTTGCACAATATGGAACGATAGAAAGTTGTCTTCATTATTTCCGAATCCTTCGAATCGTGATCTATTAACCATGAAGCACACTTTCGTCGTTTAGAAAATAAAGCGTTTAGATCTGCTCTGTTACCAGCACTTCATGTGCGTATGAAGCTGGTTCTGTATAAGCACTGAAAAGAAAAATTATTAAGAAGAGGGACTGTCCGCTCTTTGATGATTATACTCTCCACCTCCTTCCTAGCAGCACCTTCAGTTTTTCGCCAGCCGTCTCTTCCCACCAAACAGCTCTTCACCACATGTCTCTTCCGCTAAAAGATACCTGCGAAACGTGAAGTCGTCCATTCAAGGGGCTGTCTTTTTGTGCATTTTTTGCAGCTATGCAATGCAGAAAACTCATATTGACGAGAGGTTGTCTGTGTGTATGTGTGTGTGTGTGTGTGTGTGT